ACCACTGCTTTCACGTGAGGACATTACAAAAATTAAAAAGTGCCCCCTCAGTGTGCATTTTCTGTATGTCCCTAGCAAGGGAGGGAGGGTGATGTTGCTGCAGTGTCTTTGGTGCAGGCTGTTAGCTCATCATGTACTAGCTGTGGCATCTTGGGCCTGTTGCGCAGTCTCTAGAGTCAGGACAGGGTCTGCAGAGGCCAACTGTTCTTAATACCTTTAGGGCTATGGTTCCACCTTCCCGGCTGGCACTTCCTTCAGCATGGTCTACAAGAGATCCTCTGGAAGTGGTCGTGTGAAGCTGGGCCAACCTTCCTGTGCCTGTGTTTATTGACACTCCTGCCCACATAGTTCATTTCCCAAAGTTATCATACCTTTTCAATGCCGTTCAGCCTCCTTTGCCCATTCTAAGATGACTAAGGAGCATAATGCCCCACTGCCATAAATTCTGCAGTGCTGGTAGAGACCCTGGCATGCCGGTCAGTGGACTTTCCCCTTTAGTTAGCACAGAACCCCTGAAGAAGAAATACCTGTAATGTTTTATGTATTTGTGAGAGCAGTTAAAAAATGCAGCATCACTGTGTAAAGTATTTTCCTGTTGATCTTGGTTTTTAAAACGTTTTCTCTGAAAGATAACAAGGTACCCTTTGCCCGTGGGAATGTCAGCCTAACAAGGAGCAGACACGTTGAGCAAATAGTTAACGCTAACAATATATTAGCACAGCTCACAATGAAGATTCATGTGAGGGTGATCTGACCTAAAAGGAAAAAGGGCTAGAGCTGGGGTTTTCCTGAGGAACTGTGTTTGTGTAGCTTGTTGAGCTTTCAAAGGTTTGCTTGAATCTCCCTGTCTTCAGCCAACTCCTTTATAGAGCACACGGGTCTTGTACATGCTGTCACATAGCAGCTACTCTCTGCCTGCCTGCGACTGAAGTGAACGGCACCTGCTCAGGTTCATTTCCTCCCGAAGCTTGGTGCTTCCCATACAGACCGGACACCTTGAGCTTTTAATCCTCAAGTGCATCTCTACTCCAGCCATGATGTCTGCTTTTTTTCCAAGAGTTTCTTCGTTTGCATTCTCCCCGATAGTGTGGACTCGTATCACTTCCCATGGCACCAGAGCAGCTGCCCTTACCTCTAGCGTCTTCTCTCTGTACTGTGTAGCGCAGACAGTCTATCCTCTCCCCATTTCATACTCTCTGCTCACGTACACTGTTTCCGTTGGCTTTCTTTTCTGATAGTCTAGTGTTATTTCTGAGTTGAAAGACATGCATTTGTCTGCTGTACTTTTAAACCAAGTACTATTCCCAGTCTTATCGCAGTACATAGTGTCATATAATTAGTTTATTCTCGTTCTTGGATAAACTCATTGTAATCATTCGGGTTCTTCTGCTGGACAGGGATTTTTTTCCTGACATTCCCTCCCAACCTCACATCCACACCATCAGCACTGTGTTAGGTGTTCCTTAGGTGCTGTGGCTTAGGGAACTGTCGTTGACTTTCCCATGTTTTCTTAATCTCTCTCTCTCTCTCTCTATCTCTGTCTCTGTTTCTCTCTCCTAGAATGTACAAAAATGTCTTACTTCTAAACACAATTTACCATGTGTGATAGAGTTGGCTGTCTTCTATCATAAATCATAGCTTACCGTGGGTGACATGGTGTTTGCTGTTGTCTCACAGAGAAGCCATCTTTATAGATGCAAGAATTGTCCCTAATTTCAGTTCTGTGCTTTCTTCAGCGTTGACTGCAGCATTAATCTCAAACGAGTTTTTAGGTAATTACCTCATGGCTGATTGCAGAGCAATTTCTTGGTGGGTTTTTGATGGTGGTGGTGGTGGTGGTGGCGGCGGCGGTGGTGGTGGTGGTGGTGGTGTGGGTGTGTGTGTGAAGATTTATATCTACCATGGATTATTGTGTTGGGTTTATCACATGCCAAGGTGTTATGATTGCATTTACTTCACATTCAATATAGCAGACATGAAACTTGAAATCCAGCAATTTTTAGCAACTGTAATCATTAATAATTATGGGTAACCTTAAAAGATATGTTATGACATTAGCATGAAGTAGAAGTATCTAATAAACCGACAGGCATAATGAACCACTGAATTCAATAAATTTCTCCAACAGTCAGTGAGTTTATTCTGTGCTGGGTACGGGGCTGCAATGATGGATAAATGAGGACTTCATTCTCTCTTCTTAGAGCTACCACCCCAACAGGAAGGATGATTTAAAACAAAATCGTAATTGTTATGGTAGCAAGTAAAAGGGAAAGACTTTTTCATGACCATGTGTTTTCTACTGGGTCTTTGCCACTTTGAAAGGTCAGAAAATTTGACAAGAAAATTGTGTGGGCGAAGTTAGTTTTCCATATTTACCTGTCTTGGGATGCCTCGTTCATGACAGACTCAGAGGGTGATAGCCTTGCCTCTGCCTGTCCTTACAGCACCATGCCCGGAAAGAAGGGAACACTATCAGTTCAGACCATCCTGAGGTTTTTTTTTTTACAACTAGAAGAAAAAGCATGGGACAGGAAGTGGCTGTTTGTGAGCCCACAATGAGAGTAAAGTTGGCCATGGGCGAATAAGGCATTTGTTGGAAAAGATTTCCATAGAATCCAGGCGTGGTAGTTAATGCCTATTATTGCACGATTAATAAAAACCCAGAGACAGATATTGGGGTTTCACCTGAAGGTCAGAAAAGCAAAGCATCTAGCCACTGGTTCTTTCCTCTGCCTCAGTCTGAAATGGCGATCCTGCCTCCAGGAATCTCAGAATGAGACTGAGAGCTGTCTCCTCCTATTTTATATTCCTCTCTAGTGCTGGGATTAAAGACGTGCATCACTACCGTTCTGTTTCTATAGCAGAGTAGTGTGGCTGCTGGGATTAAAGGTGTGTGTCACCAATACCTGGTCTGTAAGTCTGACCAGGGTGACTGCTTTACTCTCTGATAGCCAGGCAAGCTTTATTTATTAAAACACAAATGAAATATCGCTACAGCCTATAATTCCAGCACTGGAGAGGCTGAGAGAGGGGAATTCAGAGTTCTAGAATTCCAGACAAACCTGGCTAAATAATGGGATCCTGTCTTTAAAAAATAATAATAGTTTACAGAAAGTGGGAAAATGTTTGCTTATTCATGTTAAAGTAACTCCTGCACTTGGGAATATAAATAAAATAATTTTGGTAACTGAAGGAAATTTGAGGACTTTGATGGAAAAGAAATGACTTTGGCATTTTATTTCTACTAAATCTAGTGAAAACAGGGCCTGTCATTGCCCTTAGGGATTTATCACTGCCTATAATATGCATTAGCAGTGTGTAGTCATAATTAACTTCTCAATACTTTTATCTTATTTTTTCTGCTTTTCATTCATGGCCTTTTCCCAATATTGTGCTTACTCCAACGTCTACATTTTCTCAGTCTTAAATGTCTATTCAAATTACCATTCTTGCAGCTTTGACCCAAGTCATCTCCCCTGTGCATTTCACAGACTGTGTCCCACTTAGCATGGCTTCTTTCCTCTCTCATCTCATTTCAGCCTCTGGTCCACAACCAGATGTTGGCATTCTAGTCACTGTATTTGCCTTATAATTCAGAAGTTTTAAAAGATATTTAATATTTTGAACATGTATATTTTAAGTAATGAAAAATAAGCTTCCCATAGATATTTGAATGAGTGACAGAGATACACCAAGTATTTAAGCAATGAATTGCAATATGTGATTTATAGAATAAATATCATGAATATCTTGTACTTATATCCCAAAATGTGTTATTCATAAAGATATATATATTATTCAAATTATGATTCACTACTTATTTCCTGAATTTTAAGCTTGTGGTTCTTAGTGACTATTTATTCTGACTTTATCGTTGTATTCAAAAAGTAAATGGTAGAAATATTGCGATTAAGAAGCAGAGGAGCAGCCCTAAATGCATCATTACCATCAAATGCAGGGTTTCCCACCACTGCCTGTCCCGAGAAAACCATGAGGACAATGACTTTTCTTTAAACTTTTTGTATTCCTCATGGAGGGACAGGACCATAAGACCCTCCCACACACGTGCTCTAAAAACATGCTTCTCTGCTTATTTTTCAAAGTAAATGAATTTTCAGAGGTTACTGAGACTTGAAACTATTGGAACACGAAGTATTTCACGGCATCTCGACTGTTTTGGTGACATTATTACTATGTCTTTATGATACTCTTGATGTAATTACTGAGTTCCAAAAGTAGAAGCAGATCACACTGGAGCATCCGGGCAGAGCTGCTGTAGTGCGCATGCCTGATGCTGGCCGCCTCACTCTAGACCTGAAGGAGCCCAAGAAACTTGGCGATCCTCACACTCATTTTTCAATATGATTGTTACAATGTTTTAAAGCTGTGTAATCTAAAATAGCCAGTTGGGTTGCCAGACCACTTTTGTTTGTAGAAAGGATTTTTCCAATGAAAGCAGCTATTAGAGGATAATTTTTCAAACGAATTAGACATGTATGTACATTACATTAAGAAATTTCTGGAAAAGAAAAAGGTCACTGTTGTCATTTTGGCACTTAATGATCTATGGTCACATGTTGCAAACCTTTTAGTACATGTAATTCAACATTCAGAGTTCTAGTGTTCACTGCAAGCCTTGTGTCTGTGTGCCAGGAGCTACTACCTGTACTTGAGAACCTCTGTGTGTCCTTACCTGTTGGTTACTGAGAGAATTTGATGCAAAGCTTAGTGAATCAAAACACTTAGTGAAAAAGTGCCAGCCAATCACTTGTTTTCTGTTAGGAATAGTGACCCAGTATTGAGTGAAATTCCTCATTCTGTCCCTTACCAGTCCTCATCCACAACTGTAAAAAGAAAGCAAGATTTTCTAATGTAACATACCAACCAATGTGCTTGTAAACCACCGTGTAAGGTACTCAACATGGTAAAAAGACTCACTTCATTTTGATACCGAAGACGGAATGTTTTATACTCTGTCTTATTTTTGTTCTGTTTTTCAGACCTTATTTCCCGTGATTCCTGATGGTGCAATCCGGATGCGCTGCAATGGTGACATAAACCATTGGCTGAGACTAGGAGCGTGGCCGAAACTCCGTCCTTCCTCCTATGTTTCTCTCTGACGGTGCTTCTGTTGGAATAGTCAAAGGAGTCCACCCAACATGAGTTTTATCATGAAACTTCACAGACACTTTCAACGAACACTGATTCTGCTGGCCACTTTTTGTATGGTCAGCATTATCGTTTCTGCATACTACCTGTACAGTGGCTCGAAACAGGAAAGCGAACTCTCGGGGAGAGCCTCAGAAGTGGACTGTGGTGACCTCCAGCACATACCATCCAGGCTGATGGAAGTGAAGAGGACAATGCTTTCTGACGCTTCAAGGACCGACCCCACAGTCCTGGTGTTTGTGGAGAGTCAGTACTCATCCCTTGGCCAGGACATCATTATGATGCTAGAATCCATTCGATTCCACTATCACACTGAAATCGCTCCTGGAAAAGGGGACCTTCCTGCCCTTACAGACAATGTGAAAGGCAAATACGTTCTCATTATATACGAGAACATTCTAAAGTATATAAACATGGACTCTTGGAATAGAAGCCTCTTAGATAAGTACTGTGTCGAGTATGGTGTGGGTATCATTGGGTTCCACAAAACCAGTGAAAAAAGCCTACAGAGCTTCCAGTTCAGAGGCTTCCCCTTTTCCATAAGTGGAAACCTGGCAGTGAAAGATTGCTGTATTAATCCTCACTCCCCCTTGCTCCGTGTGACCAAATCATCCAAGCTTGACAGAGGTTCTTTACCCGGGACTGACTGGACAGTTTTTCAGATCAACCACTCCACTTACCAGCCAGTCATATTTGCCAAAGTTAAGACTCCCGAAAACCTTTCTCGTCCCATCTCTAAAGGTGCTTTGTATGCCACGATCATCCATGACCTGGGGCTCCATGATGGGATCCAGCGAGTTCTCTTTGGCAACAACTTAAACTTTTGGCTGCACAAACTCATCTTCATAGACGCCATCTCCTTCTTGTCTGGGAAGCGGTTGGCTGTGTCCTTGGACAGGTACATCCTGGTGGACATTGACGACATATTTGTGGGGAAGGAGGGAACGAGGATGAACACCAATGACGTAAAGGTAAGGCCCTGATATCTTAGAGTTTCTCGGTTGACATCATCCCTGAGATATGATGTCTTATATAGGATGAGATTTCTAGGAGCTGGGACTTCTGATTGATCCAGAGAATTTGGGAGAAACCAGTGTAACTGGTTACTCTCATCTTAGATTGCCTAAATTCCTACTATACTTATATCTAAATCGGGAAAAATGACGATCATACTAAAATATTGAGTGTGGCGAGATCCAGAAATGATTTTCTGTGCATACTTATGGCTGCAAAATAGAAATCTTTTTTTTTCTTAGTTGCTTTCTAGAATCTCTCCACTTAGAGAACAAAGACATCTGTTAAAATACAAAACAAGGTACATGAGAGTTTTTGGAAACTACGAGTCTCAATAGGGAGTAAATTCAGAAATTTATGAAATATCTATCAGTATGAGGTTCGTTTACAAACCATGGAAAACTGACCTGACTGCAGCAGCGGGTTTGTTCATGTGGAATCGTAAGGGCTTAGCTTCTTCTCTCAGGACTGCTTCTGGCATTCACCTGATGTCACTGTGCTGTGTGTCAGCAACATACACTCCTCACTGTATGAAACTGCTTCCATTACACACACACACACACACACACACACACACACACACGAGTATTTCATTATAGTAGAATCAATTGTGTAATATAAACAATTAGTTAGGTAACAATAAGAAAGACAAAGTTGAAATTATGTACATTTATGTTACTTTTCCATTTAATAATGGGACTCCATCTGTATTTCTTTTTGATGTTGATTCCTCACAGAAAGGAGACACTTTGGGTATATAATTTTTATTCTTTATAACATTATCCTTCTGATTGAATATCTGTGACTGAAGCAGTTATCAACAATATTATTTTGAGGCGGTAGCTCAGTATTTAAATGCAAACAAGTTGAGTGTGACCCCTGTACCTTCCTGGTGGCAGGAGAGATCCAGGTCCTTAAGTCGTTCTAGGACCTCAACATATGTGCACATTCACAAACACAAGCACAGAAGAAGTGCATAGCATTTTGTATAAAAAAGATCATCTAGATCTATCTAGACAATTGCACCTTTTCTTAAAGCGACTAAGTTTCTAACAAATAGTGTTAAGGTTCGTCGCACCATTTAAATAAAGTACCAGTGCCAGAGAGGATGCTTTTCACTGTTACAGAGTGTGGAAACTGAGGAAGAAAACACTTCCATATTATAGCTGGGCTTTCCAATTAATTAATAATATTTATTAAGTTATGTTTAAATTTGCATTAAAGATTTACAACTTTCTTTTGTGAAAGCGTAGCTAAATTAAAACCAAGCTGGTAGATTAAGAATTTGTTGTTAAGTATTTATAGGCTAAAAACAACTTTTAATTCGTCTACTTTTCCATTTCCAATTACTGAGATAAAATGTAATATATATATACATATATATGTATGTGTGTGTGTGTGTGTGTGTGTGTGTGTGTGTGTGTGTAAGTTTTTTAAGCTGTCAAAACTACACTATTAAGGCATTTTAAAATGTGTCTGGTAAACTTCTGTGTTCCAGTGCAGCCCTCTGCATTATCTAATATCTACACAAAGTGCCTTTTTCTCAGGCAGAGTGGTGTGTGACTATGACCCCAAAACTCCAGAGAATGAAGCAAGAGGATCACAAGTTAGAGGTCATCCTAGGCTACCCAGGCAGACCACACCTTTTGTGCTTTATAGGCTAACTCATGCTGTAGGGACACAGAAATTAAAGGCTTATTGAGCACATAACAAAATGTTTCCTGTGTACTTTATGGGTTGATCTTGAAACTCCCTATATGTTTCTTTTTAAAACATGTTTTGGACGATTGCATTTTTAAACTGCTTCTAGATTCCATATGTTTCAAAACATTAATGCGTTGAAACTAGAGGACATAAACCTAAATTTAGTCATTCTTGTATTAGCTACTGTCCTCATCACTGTGTCAAAATTTCCAACAGAAGCACTTTAAGTAAGGAAAGAAAGGATGATTTTGCCCAATAGTGAGAGTCCAGACCATCATGGCGCAGTGTCTGTCAGGAGAGTGAGGGAGCGCGAAAGCTACTTTTGTAGCACAGTGAGGAAGTAGGGAAAGATGAGTGTTGGAGCTCGGATGGCTTCGTCCTTGCGATTCAGTCTTGATCTCAATTTATAGAATGGTGCCATTCACATCTAGAGTGAGTCCTCTGACCTCCACAAACCCAATCTAGAAACTCACTCATGGACGGGCCCAGAGGTTTGTCTTGTAGGTGGTTCAGGATGCTTTCAAGTTGAAAAGCAGTATTAACCATCATAATTCAGCACATAGTTTCTTTTAGGCTTTATGTGTACAAAGTTAAGCACTCTGGAGACTTACCTGTTCACACTTGGTGTGTTCATATCGTGAAGTACCAGACACAAATACGATGATGAAGTTCATGAAGCAGAATGGGAGAGGATCAGTGGTGACAAACTCTGAGTTCTTATTGCTATGAGGAAACACCGTTACCAAAAGAAATTTCGGAAGGAAAGGACTTATTTCATCTTATAGCTTCTAGTCAGTCATCCAAAGAAGTCTCAGCAGGAGCCTGGAAACAAACTGATGCAGAGGCCATGGAGGAGTGCTGCTTACTGGCTTGTTCCTTATGGCTTTCTTCTAGAACCCAGGACCACCAGCTACCCAAGAGGGCCACTACCACTAATGATCTCAGGTCTCCAACATCATTGATTGAGAAAATGTACTACAGATTTGCCTACAGGCCAGTGTTATGGAAGCATTTTCCAAACTGAGAGTTTCTCTTCTCAGATATCTCTAACTTCTAACAAGTTGACAAGAAACTAGTCAGGACAAATAAATAGATTGCTTGCAATATGGGAAGGGGAAAGAATCAGTGTGATCTTGTGTGAAAACCTGTTGTACGAGAGTACAACACTATTTCTCAGAAACTAGTTGATATACAGAAAAAGCTTGAAGTCAAAACTATAATGATGCCATGGTATTAATTCAAACAAGAGATGGGAATTTCCTGAAATGAGGGAATGGGAATGAGAGTGGAGAAGCAAGAGTAATTTTAAAATTATTCAGGAGATACTAAACAATGTAGTAATTGGCTAAATGGAGATGAAAGACTGTAATCAAGAATAAAAGTTGATGGTTTGTCATTGGTGAGTCATTGTACAGAAGACAAACAAGACTGAGGAAGAGGATGGTAGCTAGGGCCATTTGGGGTCATGAAGAAAATTTCAGCTTCCTGGAAGCCCATCATCTCTGTTGTTTCTTTTAGTTGCTGACATCCATTTTAGTGGTAGTTTAGAAGCAGGTATCTGATGCTAATACTTTAAATTTGCTAAAATTATCTTACAACTGCATTTAAGTATTTTAATGAACGTACAGTCTCCACTTGATACATAACTATTAACTCAACTTTACTGTGCTTTTGTTTGTTTGTTTGTTCATTCGTTTGTTCCTTCAGAGTGTGTGTGTGTGTGTGTGTGTGTGTGTGTGTGTGTGTGTGTGTGTGTGTGT